ATACAACCAGACGCGGTCTCCGGCCTCAAACAGAGATTTCGTTTCACGCGCAGAGGTTTCGTCCGAATCCTCGGTCACTACCCCTGTCTCAGCGAGTTCATCACCCCGTGTAACGGTCCGATCTGTTCTAGGAACCGCAGCCTTTTCAGCCCTACTCAGGGATTCGTTATGCTTCTGGGCTCTCCGAACTTTTGCAGCTGCCTGTTACTCTTTGGCCATCTTTAATGCGATTTCGTGTTGACGGTTCGCCTCTCGACGCCAGGAAAGAGCGTCTGATTGCCGTCCGAGGTTTCGTTGAAGTGATGAGGACATCGCCTTGAGAGTGGACTGTGCGTCCCACCCATCGACGAGACGACAAAAAGGTGTCTCTCTTCTCGTCGCATCTATCCAGTTATTAATCTCGAACATCAACTTCTCCGCGATGTGATCCCAATCCTGCTGCAGGGGGTCTTCTGCGTACACCCGTACCGACTGCATAACGGTTTTTACCGACCGTTCTTGCTGGCCGTTCGCCTGGGATCGGTAACTTAATGTTGCCCTCGATCTCGACTGCATCATTTCAGTGAAAACTTAGAAGACATCACTCATGAAGCGTGGGTCTCTGTCATGTCTAATCAGCGATGGCGCTCCGAATCTTCGGTAGACGCACTCCTCAAACACCTGTGCCACCTGTAAGGCAGTGGTGTTCGCCATGGCTTTGCCCATCACAAATCCGGTGAATGCAAAATGCACACTGAAATAACAACAACGCCGTATTTCCTCGCCGAGACTTCGGTAAGGGTATGACGAAGTCCATAGACACGATTTGGAAAGGTCGTTCCGCCAGAATGTTGCCCGGTGAGTATCCGCGAAGCTTCGGTCGGCTTTTACTCGAACTACAGTCAGGACAAGAGCGTACGTGTCTTGCGACATCGGCGTATAGACCGACCCAGTAGTAATCTAATTTCACCCGGTAGAAAGTCCGTGCAATGCCTTGATGACCTCCTTCCAACGAGTCGTGGCAGTTTTGTAGTACCTCTTGAATCATCGTAGTAGGCACCACTAGGCGTAGTGTTGGTTTATCTTGCAGGTGGTCGCTCCTCCGAAGTCTCGTTCCTAGGTGGTAGAGCACTCAGAACGAAACGATCGGCGATCTTCCAAGCGTCTCTCGCTGCCCGGTATGTCAACACCGACTCGTCACCTCGAAGGACGGTCTTCAAGTTTGCCCATCGCAGTTCTTCGTCCTGGGCGACCGCGATTCTTCTTCGTCGTTCTTTCTGGATCTCCAAGGGATCGACGTCACTGGCGTTGGGCGACGCAGGCGTGGATCCCGTTACCCTTCGTTCTTCCTGATCTTCGCTGTTTGGGGCTTCTGTCGGGGTATCGTTAGGTTCGTCTCGCGCCGCACTATCGTCTAGGCCTTGGACCGAAATTTCGTCGGCGAATCTGACGCGTTTGCAGGCTGACCTCGCTTGCTGTCTGGTCGTTACCGTTAGGTTTCCGAATTCGTCGCCGCCCTCTCGCGCAAAATCGAAAATATTCTTGCGACGGTGTTCGGTCATTCTTGTCGCGTGTCCTGTCAGAGACTTTGGCAGTCTCGCATGTCGAGGATGTCTCACTTGAACTTGGGTGTGTGCTACACTGACCGAAGGTTCGCTCTCCGAAGTTTCGTTGGGAGGTTCGTAGATGGCGGGAAGTGCGAAGCCTTCAACGAACTTGCTAGCCTCCTCCGGTCGAAGGTCGACAAGAATGACTTGACACCGATGCTGCAAAGTGTGGTGTACGGGAATCATTTAAACTAGGCAGCCCGTCAACTGAAACTGGGTTGGTTCCTATCGGGCTGCCACAGTTAGCTGAACCCGCGGTAGATGCAGACTATCTGTTTGCCTTCGCAGGAGAGGTGAAATGACCCGAAGACCGCGAAATGAGATTTGTGAATACGACGGAAATTGTAGAAGGAAACGATGGAAGCCTCGGTGAGAACGAGGTGGGCGAAGTAGACGCCG